TCTCTTATTCTTCTGAGAGGTTAGCTGAGATCTATATCCGGGAGATTGTTCATCTTCATGGTGTGCCCGAGTCTATCATTTCAGACCAAGGTACGCAGTTTATCTCATGTTTCTGGAGAGCAGTTCAGCGAGAGTTGGGCACGCGAGTTGAGTTGAGCACAATTTTTCATCATTACACAGACGGACAATTCGAGCGGACTATTCAGATTTTGGAGGATATGCTTCGAGCTTGTGTCATTGACTTTTGAGGCTCGTGGGATTAGTTTTTGCCCTTAGAAGAGTTTGCCTACAACAACAGCTACCAGTCGAGTATTCAGATGGCTCTGTATGAAACTTTATATGATAGGCAGTGTCGGTCTCCAGTTGGATTGTTTGAGCCGGGAGAGGCTCGGTTGTTGCGTACGGATCTGGTTCAGGATGCCTTAGACAAGGTCAAGATTATTCAGGATAGGCTTCGTACAACTCAGTCCAGGCAAAAGAGTTATGCCGACCACAAGGTTCGAGATTTGACATTCATGGTCGGTGAACGGGTATTGCTTCGAGTGTCGCCTAAGAAAGGCGTGATTAGATTTGGGAAGAAAGGCAAGCTTAGCCCTAAGTTCATTGGCCCTTTTGAGATTCTAGATCGAGTGGGAGAGGTGGCTTATAGACTTGTGTTGCTGCTGAGTTTATTAGCCGTGCATCCAGTGTTTCATGTGTCCATGCTTCGGAAGTATCATGGCGATCCATCCCACGTATTAGATTTCAGCACTGTCCAGTTGGACAAGGACTTGTCTTATGAGGAGGAGCCGGTAACTATTCTAGACCGGCAGGTTCGTCAATTGAGATCGAAGAGTTTTCCTTCTGTTTGTGTTGAGTAGAGAGGTCAGCCCGCTGAGGCATCGACCTGGGAGTCCGAGTCCGATATGCGGAGCCGTTATCCCCATCTTTTTGCTGACTCAGGTACTTCCTTCTTATGTTCGTTCGAGGACGAACGGTTGTTTTAGAGGTGGAGAATGTGATGACCCAAAAGGTTATCACTTGTGTTGCAAGTGCATTCAGTGTTCCGAGGCCTAAAAAAACCTCATTTTGACCCCACCTTGATGTGCGTGCATGGTCCTGACCTATATCCGGAAAGTTTTCTATGTGAAAATAAGAGAAATAGAAATTCTAGAGTTAAAATTTGATTATGGTTGACTTTGGTCAATATTTTGAGCAAACGGACCCGGATTCGTGTTCCGACAATCCCACAAGGTCCGCAGTAAAATATGGGACTTGGGCGTATGCCCAGAAATGAATTCCGAGGTCCCAAGACTTAGAAATCAATTTTTGAAAGAAATTGTTTTACTAAATTATCTAAGAAATAAAGAAAAGAATTAATGTTTGAAACCATTGTTATTTGGCCCGTATTTTGGTTCCGGAGCCCGGTACAAACTTGTTATAGTATTTGAATGATAACTGTGAAATTTGACGTGAGTTGGACTTCCGGTTGAAGAGTTATGAACTTTGAGAGTTCTTGATGAAAATGTTGAGTTTTGAGGTTTAAATCATGATTTTACATGTTATTTTGATGATGTGATCGCACGAGTAGGTCCATATGATATTTTTGAGTTAGTATGCACACTTGGTTTGGAGTTATGAGGGCTCGGGTGAGTTTCTGGTAGGTTCCGGGATGTCTTAGGCTTAAAAACATAGTTGTTGCAGGTTCAGAGAAGTGGAAGGAACAGACCAGTGCGGTTCGCACAAAGAGGAATGCTGCCGCGGAGGGGCTTGTGCGGCCGCACTGGATTTATGCGGACCGCGGTGAGGGCTTTGCGGCCGCACTAGATTCTGTGCGGTCCGCGGTGAAGAATATTCACTGGTCCGACTTCGGATGCCTATATCTTTTGATCTACAAGGAATTTTGAGATGATTCAAAAACAGAAGTTGTAGCCCTTCGTGTCTAGTTTCCAAAAAGTAAAGAAATCACAATTTGGACATCTGTAGAGAATGTTATGGCCAAAATACTAAAGCATGTCACTGCAGTCCACATAAGAGCTGTGTAGCGCAGTTGATTTTGTGCGGTCTGCACAGGGCAGCTGAAAGTAGTATATTAAGACGGGACTTTTAGTTATTTTTCATCAAATCCCAAAAATATAAGAGGTGATTTTTCAAATAACCTTTCTTCTCCAAAACATTGGTAAGTGATTTCTAACTCGTTTCCTTCAATCATTAACATCTTTTAACATGATTTCAACTCAAAATCAATGATTTTCATGGGGGAAATTGGGTGTTTTAGGTAGAACCTAGGTTTTTCAAAAATTGGGGATTTAGAACTCGATANGTGGTGGAATCAAGGGGTAAAGCTATAGTTGAATCGTGAATTATGTTCGTGGCATCGAGGTAAGGATTTGGTCTAACATTAGCTTGAGGGATTAGGAGTTGTGTCTTATTTGCTACATGTTAATTGTGGAGTACGACGTATAGGCATGGTGACGAGTATCTATACGTTGGAGTCAAGCATGCCCGTGAGTCTTGTATTATAATTGTTATGACTCCGTTGTGATTTATTGCGCTTCATATGTTATTAACACCATTGTTCCCTTACCGGGATATTTGTTTGATATTAATGATCCCTTGCCGGGAGGTTTGTTTTGATAGTATTGTTCCCTTGCCGAAATGTTGTTGAAATATCATTGTTCCCTTGTCGGGAAGTTGTTATATTGCTTTTGCTCCCTTGCCGAGATTCCTTGTGATTTTTATTGGCTTGTAAATGGGAGCGGGTGTTACACCTACCACAAGATATGATGAAATAGGAGCGGGTGGTACGCCTACCACAAGATATAATGAAATAGGAGCGGGCGGTACGCCTACCACAAGATATAATAAAATGGGAGCGGGTGGTACGCCTACCATAAGATATGATGAAAGGGGAACGAGTGGTATGCCTACCATAAGATATAATGAAATGGGAGTGGGTGGTACACCTCCCACAAGATATAATGAAATGGGAGCGGGTGGTATGCCTACTATAAGATAAATGAAATGGGAGCTGGTGGCACGCCTGCCACGAGATACAAGAATCGGGATCGGGTTGCACGCCTACAACAAGATGTGAAAAGAAAGTGAAATCTGCCTTTGTTTTCCTTATTCTTGTTAGTGGTTGATTTTGATTCCTTTATAATTCTCTTGATATTCTATTTTACCTATTATTCCCCGAAGCATGTTTCCCCCTCCTATCTTTATTTGTTTATTTCTGTATTTCTTTTCCGTTGTATATATATTTGGACTGCACAGGTTTACTTGGTAGTCTGGTCCTAGCCTCATCACTACCTCGCCGGGGTTAGGCTAGACACTTACAAGCACATAGGGTCGGTTGTGCTGATACTACACTCTACACTATGTGCAGATCCCAGAGCAGCTTTTGTACCGTAGTGTGGAGGATACTTTCAGTCCACGCGGAGATCCAAGGTAGACCTGCAAGCGTCCGCAGTCCCTGGCGTCTCCCTCTATCCCTATTTCCTATTTCATTTTCCTTTTATTCAGAAACAATGTATTGTCATTTTCTTCAGACTTTGTATGTAGTAATCTCTTAGACAGTCCGTGACACCGTGACACCAGGTTTTGGGTGGTTAAGGCTTAAGTATTTGTAATAGATGCATTCTTCATAAATCTTATTGTTGTCTTCCGCTTAAATTTGAATTTCCGTTGTTACCATGTTATCGTCTTATATTTGTTAAAAAGAAATAATTGGTTAATGAAGTAATTAGATTAAAGGTTTGGCTTGCCTAGCTCACATTAGTAGATGCCATCACGACTCCCGAGGGTAGGAAATCTGGATCGTGACAGTTTATTATTCAGAGTTCTGAACAATGGCCTTAGTGCCTTCAACTTCAACCAAATGTTCTTCATCTTGTAAGTATCATGAGACGGTTTCCAAACTTTTTCCACAATTGCAGCAAAACTGTCATGCTCAGCCCATAAGTTGAAGGATCTAAAAGGTATTTTCCAGGTTTTGAGGCTGAGGAAAGAGTGAGTAGCATGGGGCTATGATCAGAAATAAATAAAAGACCATACTCACTAATCACATGACCCTACTGCATCATCCACTCATAGTTACCAAATACTCTATCAATCTTGCTACTTATCATGTCAGCACCATACTGTTTGTTTGATCATGTATAGTACTCTCCTATCCATGTCAGCTCATTTAGGCTAAAGAAGTCACACACTTAGCAAAATCTTGGACTTTTGTATAAGTGATAGGATTACCCATCAATCTATCCTTAGAGTACAACACAACATTAAAATCCTCACACAGTAGCCAAAGTTTGGTAATTCCTACTGCTAGACCCTTTAGTCCATCCCACAATTACTTTCTTTGCTCTACAATATTATATCCATATATAGCTGTAACTTCATATTCTACCATCCCCATCCTATCCTGCACCAAACAATGAATAAACTGAGCTACAACACTTAGTAAAGTAACAATGTACCATTGGGTATCCCAGATAAACCATACTCTCCCATTTGAAGCATACTGATAATTTTTAACAGAGTTCCACCCTGCAGTTACTCTTAGCATGGTCCTACTAGCATTATGTTCTTTAACCCTTGTTTCAATTATAACTGCTAGCTTTATTCTCTGACTACTGATATACTTTTTTTTAACTCTTTTTGTTTATATCTCTTATTTACCCCTCTAATGTTCCAGAATAACCACTTCATTAGCAAGTCATTCTACCCCTACCTTTGTCAGGTGGTAAGGTGCTAGTACTCCAATTTCCCCTTTCTAATGGCTCAAAGACATTCCTCATTGTTACGACTGATAATGCTGGAAAGTTTATCAAATCCAGATCAATCCTATTTTCTGTAGCTTTGCCTTTATCTACTATTGGCTCCACAATCTGTCTATGCTGTTGAAGACGTGTCTGAACATTACCCTTCTGAACTGGTTCCTGAGCATCCCTTGGTTGCATATTCTCTCTATTTTGTAATCCTTCTTGACCTTGCTGCTGTGGAACATCTTGCCTATGTTGTTAATTTTTATCCTCTGGTTGATTAGCATGACTATCTCCACCTTTCAATGGTCTTTTGCACCTCCATTCCCTAGTGACCTTCTTAGGCTCTCTTCTCCTGCCTTGTTGCTTCTCTTGCTGCTTATTTTGTTGTTGTTTCATACCACATTTGTGCCCAACCACTAAACATTTCTGACAGAACTCAGGTTTCCAATCATACCTGACTGATTTTGCAAATGTTCTACAATTAGGGTCCATAACTCTTACCTCACTAACAAGTCTTTAGTGATATTCACTTCTATCAACATTCTTGCAAATGATACTCTAGTTTTCTTTGCAGTGCACTCATCTGCATAGATAGGAGTACCTATTGTACTAGCCATTCGACTTAATAAACCATGACCCCAACAGTTCATAGGCAGATTAGGAAATTGAACCCATAGAGGAATTTCAGTGGGAAACTCCTCATTAAAATCAAAATCTGGTGTCCAAGGCTTTAGGATGATAGGTCTGTTATTAAACGTGTATGGCCCAAAGTAGTTAATTTCTTTCATATCATCTACATTTTGAAATTTGATGTTGTAGTAACCCTCCTCATGTAAGTACAGCTCAGGCTCCACCACATTTGCCCAATTTATCCCAACAAATCTCTTCATAGCATTATAACCCGGTGTTTTCCCAATTATATAAGCTATCACGGCATTTTTCCATTTCTCTGTTTCCAGATCTACCTCTACTTTGTCTAATTGAACAACAACTTGACCATAAATGAGTTGTAGGGGTATGTAAGCTAGCGACATACTATTTTCAACTGCTCGATTCCTCTGAAATAAATTTGTCCATGTCTTAGTCTTCATAGTATCCGTCTCCTCAGGTTGATTGTTCTCCACCATCACACTACTTTTAGCTGCATGTACCAGATTTACTGTTCCATTGGTTGAACTTGGTATCTCCTTGCTTGCATGTTAAATATGCGGCTCCTCAATGTTGTTAGTTGTTGGATGAGTGTTCAGATCCAGCTTCTTCTTAACTCTAGCACTCGTCAATGATGATTCTGCTTCACAACTCGTTGCCCCCAGTTCCTGTACTACCAGTGGTGTATCTAATTGCTCCTTCTCGTTGTCCTCAGCTTAAATTCGAGCACCCACAGAGCTACCGTAGATAGCTATGGGATTCTTCCTAGGTCTACCTCGACCCTGTCCTCGTCCTCTTCCTTTGCGTTTCGCCATGAAAATACAATCAACACACGTTTACTATCATTCACCGAGAGCACGAGCGAAGAGAGAAACTTGTTCTCTTTTCCCTATTTTCCTCTTCATACATTCTCTTCCCTACTAAGAAATTTTAATTAGCTTTTACACAAAATATTTGACCCAAACTCAAAATAATATCACGTCTTATTTTAAATATTACTTTGAGTTAGTCTAAAAATTAATACATAAGTTCCTTTATAATGTTTCAAATCTATTGAATATTCTTATAATTATTTTTGTATTACGTGCAATTAAATTTTCTTTCTATTTTAGTTTCAAGATACAAATTTAGCTTTTAATTTTTATTAATAAAATTACCTACATGAGATATTTATTTAATATGTTTAAATATTTAATTTGGTATCAAATTTTTATTTTTCTTTATCTAGCAAGACTTCAATTTTGTGGTCATATCCATATTTTAAGTGTTATTATCATAACTTTAAGAACTTTCTAATCTCAAGTTTAAATAGTTTTTTCTTTTTATTTTAATATAATTTTTTTAAATTTTAATTATTTTTCTTATTTCTGCTATAATATTATCTAATATGTAATATTATCACATTTTCATGTAATTTTTTTTTATTAACTTTACACTTTATTTAATATTCTTATTCACTTCTATTTTTAATATAATATAGATATGTAATTATTTATTTTAAATTAAATATTTATTTTATTTTTAAACTATTGTTTGAAATTTTAAAATTATTTAAATTTATTAATAATATTTTGAGTTTGTATAATTTCATTATTTTATTTTTTAAAGTGATTCTTAGTATAAATATCCTCACATGATCTCTAATTTATTTATATTATTTATTATTTAATTTTTTTATCTATAGTCTTTAGTTATGTGGCCTTATCCACATGCATACTATTTCTTATTATACTTAAGAAAATTTTTCTCATATCAAATTTAAATAAATTTTATCCTTTTTATTTTGTATGATAAAATTTTTGATTTTTTTCTCTATTTGTTCCTCAAATTTTCAATTATATTATTCAATACTTAATATTATTATATTGTCATGTGGCTCAATTTCTTATTATATATTTTTATAAACAAAATCTTATCTCAAATGTTTACAACAATGGTTCCACTATCATTTATTTCTATATAATATTTCTAAAAAAAATATGAAATGGAAGAAAAGGGATCATGTGGTTAGTAATTCTAAAATAGAAATTCTTATTTTTAGAAAGTTTTGGAATCTATTTACAATGAAAATAGAAGTCAATATTAGTTGATTTATACCTTTAAGTTAAATTTGATCAAATTTGTTTTGCCTTAATTCTTATTAGATTTTGTAAATATTTTTAGATTTTGTCCGAGTGGTTAAGATTTGTTCTTCTTAAGTTAAATTTATTTAATTATATAAGAAATATTTATTTACGTATAAAATATCCATTTGCCCGATTCGTCAATATTAATATGACTTTATTATTCTTGTTATTAAAATATATTTTACTGATTATTTAATTTTTTTTACATTGTATATAATATGTATATTTTATGTAAGATCTTATTTTGTTGCTTGAATTTTTTTTTTAATTATTAAAGTCAATAAATCTTTAATATCTTAAGTTAATTTTAATTTTATTTTATATTTTAACTTACTCCAAAGTATAAATAGTCATATGTTATCTCAATTTACGTCTTTCTATATTTTTTATTTTTTTCTACTATAGTTTTTAAATTAACATTTTACCCGTATTTCTAGCTAATATTGAAGAAAATTTATGAGTAGATCATTATATGATCTAAATATAGTAGATATGGATATAAACATAAATATAAATATAGATAATAGATTAAATTTGTCTAAGATCTACCTAGATTATGTATAAGATTCATTCAACTACTTTCATTAATTATGTTTTTATTTATACTTTGTAATTATAGATATTGTCTTAAAATTGCCAAGTGACTTCATTTTAGCTTGCCACTTGGCTTAATCACAATGCATACTACTCTCCTTTTAATATAATACTAGTATTAGTATCTGCGCGATGCGCGTACACAAATCATGTCGGATTGTGATTTGGATTATTTGAATTATGTATAAATAACATTAAAATATAAATCTTCCAGATAAAAATTATAGATAATCATTAGATATTAATTAAGAAGCAAGACATGAAACCATTTCGCAAATCTCATATTGGATAACTTGTTTTCTTTTTCTATATTTATATAATCCAATAGGTTAATTTTAGTACTTGAATTTTGTTTTGTTATCAATATTAAAAATTACTAACTATGTCATGTGGTGATTTGTCTCGTTTAAACATATTAAATTATATTATTTTAATAAAATTCTCAATATTAGTTTATATTTTTGTCTAAATCATAAATAAGTCTTATTCTTTTAAATTTTACACAATTGTTTTTTGTTCTTTGCCTATAATTATTAAATTATTTATTATTTAATATTATTATACTTTCATGTGAGTTTTTCGGCTTACTAATTGACTTAATATTTTGCTTATTATCCCTTTAATAATTATCGATAAATATTATTTTATTATTCTTGAAATTTAATATATTTTACGCATTTATTATCTTACTCGAAACTATTTTACTATTTAAATCTATAAATAATATTTTGGAATGTTATTCAATTATTTAATTTATTTTATTTTAAATTAATTTAATATATTCTCACATTATATCTATTTTTTTTCTTTATATAGTCTCTTCCCTACTAAGAAAATTTTAATTAATATTTTACCTGTAATCAAAATAATATCATATTTGACTTTAAGTTGTAACTTTGATTAGTATAAAATATTAATATAGAAGTTCCTTGATTATTATATTCCAAATCTATTAAGTTTTTTTTATATTTATTTTCTGTATTACATGCAATAAAATAAATCTCTTTTACTTTCAAGATACAAAATTTGATTTTTAATTTTAGTTAATAAAATTACTTATATTAGATATTTATTTTATTTTTTTAAATTTTAATTCTTATTTATTAAGACTTTAATTTTTGGTGGTCATATCCATAGTTTGAGCATTCTCATCGTAAATTTAAGAACTTTCTAATATTAAGCAAAATAGTCTTTTCCTTTCATTTCTAATTTTTAATTTTTAATTTTTTTTTTACTTTTGGTATTATGTTATCAAATATATGGTATTATCACAGTTTCATATGGCTTTTAATTAATTTGCCACTTTATTTAGTATTATTATCCATTACTATCCTTTAATATAATATAGATAATTTAGAAATTTTTTAATCTTAAAATAAATATCTATTTTATTTTGAAAATATTGCTTGAATTCTTAAGTGTTTTATTTCACTTTATTTTATTTTCTAAAATAATTCTTAGCATAAATATTCTCACGTTATTTTTAATTTATTTTTAATAGATAAATAACAACTTTCTCATCTCAAATTTAAATAAGTTTTATCATTTTTTTGTATGATGAAAGTTTTGATTAATTTCTCTCTATTTATTCCTTATTTTTGCTATTCTATTATTCAATACATAATATTATTACATTGTTATGTGACTTTCATTAGCTTGTTTAATTTAATATCTATTTCTACCACACCCATTTTATTATTAATCATAAAAGTTAATTTCTTATTTGTTTGAACACATTATATCTAATGATAATATTTTCACTATCATTTTATTTCTCCATTTACTATTTCTAAAAATAATAAAATTATGAAATTAAAGAAAGTGGATCAAGTGGTTAGTTAATAATTATATTTGGAAAGCTATCAAAATTTATTTAGTATAAGAATATGAGTCAATTTTAATTAATTTCTGCTATAAATTAAATTTGATCAAATCTAAGTTGTTTTAATCCTTATTAAATTTGTCTAAAAATCTATTTATATTATGTCTTAAAAATACTAAGTAGAAATATTTCTATTTAGATTATTTCTCCATGTATTATTTCTAAGTGACATTTTCTGAATATGCCACTTGGCTTAATGTCATGCCTCACTACATTCCTTTTAATAATATATATATATAATATTTAAATTTTTTTCTTATCTTATAAATAACTTTATACTTTATATAAGATCTTATTTTACTGCTTGAATTTTTTTAATGTTTGAAGTCAATAAATCTTTAATATCTTAAGTAAGTTTTATTTTATATTTTAACTTACTTCAAAGTATAAATAGTCATAGGTTATCTCAATTTATGTCTTTCTATATTTTTTTATTTTTTTCTATTTTAGTTTTTTAATTAATTTTTTACCTCCATATTTCTAGCTAATTTATAAGAAAATCTATGAGTGGATCAATATATATTAAGAGAGAGAGAGTGTGAGATTAGATTTGTCTAAGATATATTTAGATTATGTATGAGATTCATTAAACTACTTCCTTTAATTATGTTTCCATTTATAATTTCTAATAATTAATATTGTCCTACAATTGCCAAGTGGCTTCATTTTAGCTTGCCACTTGGTTTAATCACAATGCATACTACTCTCCTTTTAATATAATATAGATTTTTTCTTATCTTATAAATAACTTTATACTTTATGTAAGATCTTATTTTACTGCTTGAATTTTTTTAATTTTTGAAGTCAATAAATCTTTAATATCTTAAGTAAGTTTTAATTTTATTTTATATTTTAACTTACTCCAAAGTATAAATAG